GGACTGGCAGATGGGAGGTGGGGACAGCATGGGGATGTGGGATAGGAGGGGTCTGCAAGTACATCTGAAAGGCAATTGTGACATGAAGGGATGGGTTACACCAATGATCTCTCAGTAAGGAGGCATGGGTACCCCCAGACACTGGGTTGCTTGTCAGTGCTGTCACCTGGAACAGTTGAGCTGAATATATTCAGAGCCTGCTCACCCACCACCCTCTTCCCAACTTTTTTTTTAAAGATTATTTTTATTGGAAAGGCAGATTTACAGAGAGAAGATCTTCCAATCACTGATTCACTCCCTCAAGTGACTGCAACAGCTGGAGCTGAGCCGATCTGAAGCCAGGAGCTTCTTCCAGGTCTCCCACACGGATGCAGGGTCCCAAGGCTTTGAACCATACTTCACTGCTTTGTTAGGACACAAACAGAGAGCTGATGGGAACTGAAGCAGCAGGGACACAAACTGGTGCCCATGTGGGATCCCAGCATTTGCAAGGGGATGATCAGCCAATTGAGCCATCCCCATGGGCCTCTCTTCCCATCTTACTGCCTCATGCTCTCTAAGCTCCCTGTTCTATTCCTGCATAGACCCCTAGGATATAAACTTGAGCAGGCACAGGTCATGGAGAAAAGGGTTCCATCAAGGTCATTCTTGAATAGTGTTAATCAACTGAGTAGGAAGGACTGAGAGAGGGGGCTGTCATGTAGGAGAGTGCTCCGGCGTGCAGGAGTTACAGGGGTCAGGACCAGGTAGGCAGAGAGGACGGAGAACCTAGGAAAATCCTACTTCTTCAGGGAGACTGAATCTCAGCATCAACCTGCTCCACTGTCCTCTGGAGTACAGGTAAACACTGTTTACTGCATCCCTGGCTTACTGTCCTGGTAGGATGGCCTCCTTAATCCTGGAAAAGCCAGGAATGGTGCCACTAGGGTTGGATTCTGGTGCCAGCCCTCTTCCTGGTTCTCCTCCCCTATGAGGCCAGGATCCCATCCTGATGGCCCCACCCTCCTGACTTGTGCCAGATCTGATGACCCCAAAGGCTGCCTCACAATACCAGATCTCCTAAGACCATCTCACGGAGGGTTAGCATTTCAAGAGAGTAGGCAGTCTGGACAGACATACGTGCAGGTTATTTCCTGTATTCTGCCTGAACTTCCCAGCCGAAAGTGTGGGTTCCTGGCCCTAGGACACGCCTATGTATCTGTAAACAGCCCTCTGTGACAGATTTCCTTGAGTCAAGCCAGAGCTTGTCACCTTGGTAATGCTTATCCCTAATTCTGAATTTGGGGGCTAATAGAGGAAATCTCATATTCCTTAGCACAGTCGTTTAGACAGTGTTGTTAACCACATGGTTTAGGTAGACAGGTCTGCGCATCCTCGCTAGGTCTGGTGTCCACAGAGAAAACCACCACCGCTGCTCAAATTGAGCATGCCACAACTGGTCCACTCGCCCCCTCAGGCATGGGTCCCATCTGTAGCTCCAGCATTGCAGATCTATTGAGAGTCTCTGCCTCTCAAAGAAACAGATAACATTTTCAGAAAATTACTATGAGAAAAAGAAATGAGGGCATACCACCTCAGCCCCAAACCCTGCCAGGCAGTGCCATGTTGAGGAGATTGACCATGGAAAGAGGCTGTTGAGGGCTTGTTGGACAGTTATGGAATAAGTGCTGAGGGCTTCCATGGACCAGGCTACTATACCCACAGGTAATTGAGGGAGCTGAGACAGAGTGGTTTAGTAAGAGGAATCCAGAGGGTATGCCTGGGTCAGGCCAAAGCACCCACCCAGGCATGAGAGGTAGGCAGGGCTAGGTCATAGCACCTGCTAGCACATGCAAAAGCCATGGCTTGGGCGCTGGCTGGGCAAGGCTAGGTCACAGTACCTGCTGGCGAGTGTTGGGACATGGGCAGGCTACATCAGGCTGGGCCACAGCTCCCCACCATCACGTGTTAAAAAAGCAGCTAGGGACAAGTCTGGTAGGAGATTTATGGGTTTGCCCTGCTAAACTGCAGCACCTACTAGTGTGTGCAAGAGCTGGCACTGGTGATAAGCCAGGCCGAGCATCACCACAACACTTATTGGCAACAACAAGAAGAGCCAGGCCTGGAAGTGGGCTGGGCTGGCCAAGCTGCAGCACCTGCCTGCACAAACAAGAACCAGGTCCAGAGGTGGACTGGACTGGGCTGGGCTGGGCTAGGCCCACTCACTAGGCTGGCACTCACTGGAGCACATGAGAACAGAGTGTGTGGGGGGGTGGGGGACAGGCCACAAAACTCGCCAGCATGTGTGAAAGGCAGAGCTGAGGGTGGGCAGGGCCAACCTGATTCATAGTATCCACCGTCACATGGGCGATCCTGGGCAGATGCATCCAGCAATGTGTGTGTCAGCTGCCCCTCACCCTGTACCAACTGGCATACCAAAGAATCAAAGCTGAGGGTTTTCTGGGCAGGCTTTCTTGGGGGAGTCCCCAAATAGATTGCTGGGCTCAAACCCTGGCCTCAGGGAACACCTCAGGGACATGTGGTCTGATCTTGGAGTCCATGTTTCTGGAGTGAGCGACCTCAGTTGCTGACAGGCCCAGATGTGCAGGACAGCCAGATCATCTAATACAACAGAGGACATCAAGTACCTCAACAAAAGACGGAAAGCAGAACAGGTTGAAGATTGAACAGCTATCCTGGCCAAGCTCTGCGGCAAATGTCTAGTCTGTGGCTGCACCCAAGTAGACCTTGGTCAGACAACAGACCCTGGAAAGAATTTCTCAACTCTGGTGCAACAAGGCTGAAAACTTCTCAGAACTATCCATTGGGGTCTCTTTGGCATCATCAGATAACCATTTCCATTCCTGGGTACTGATGTAGTTTGACAGCAAGGAGCAGGTGCCTACTTGCCCCACCACCCCTTTCTCCCTACCCACTTCCGTCCCAGAAAAAGCAATTGAAGTAATCCTATTACAAAAAGCTCTCAGAACAAAAGCAATCAATGTCATCGCCGCTGGGTGGAAACAGAGCGCCACCTGGAGGTCATGTCTGTGATGCTCAGCAGGTTGCGTTGCACCTCTCAAGTGCTCACCTTGTGAAGGCACCAGGTCCCATATGCACGCCGGTTCTAATCCTGGCAGCCCCACTTCCCTTCCAGCTCCCTGCCTGTGGCCCAGGAAAGCAGTCAAGGACGGCCCAAAGCTTTGGGACCCTGCACCCACGTGGGAGACCCGGAGGAGGCTCCTGGCTTCGGATCGGCAGAGCATCGGCCGTTGTGCTCACTTGGGGAGTGAATCATCGGATGGAAGATCTTCCTCTCTGTCTCTCCTCTCTGCATATCCGCCTTTCCAATAAAAAATAAATCTTTAAAAAAAAAGTTAAAAAAAAAAGAGAACAGCCAATGGCTACCTTTGTATACCTGATGGGAGATAATTTGTATAAGTTGAGTAAACAGCATGTAAATGAGAACACCTGGTGGAATATACAAAACAAAAGGAATTCCAATCAAGAGTATGGAAACAATTGATGGGTTTTGTTGATGAGCTCAATACTTCCTCTCTTATCCCATACAGACTCTCAGTGTATAAAGTCTGATGCCCCTAATAAACTTCCGGCTTTTGACCATCAGTCAGGGTCCACGCGTGTTATTACTGGCTCCGTGCACCAAGTCCATCGCTGTGGGTCAGCGACACACTGCTTCACTCCCCAAGTGGCCGCAATGGCCAGAGATGAGCTGATCTGAAGCCAGAAGCCAGGAGCTTCTTCCAGATCTCCCATGTGGGTGCAGGGTCCCAAGGCTTTCCCATGCCACAAGCAGGGAGCTGGATGGGAAGTAGAGCTGCCAGGATTAGAACCAGCACCCATATGGGATGCTGGTTCATGCAGGGCGTGGATTTTAGCCACTAGATTATCACTCGGGGCCTGAGACAATTCTTAAAGAGAGGCTTCTTTAGAGCAGGAGAAGACATAGTTTGAAAATGTCTTGAAAACGACCCACTGAAGTCATTGCTTCTGTCAGGTGGTAAAGCCAGAACTGAAACTGTCCCTTCTAACACTTGAGGTTATTCTGCGTTTGTTGAGTCTTAATCCACCTGTATAATGTAGTCTTTTAATTAGAAAATATTTTCATTTTTACTGCAGTTGACTGTGAAAAAATACTGCCCAATATTGTCTTGAGGTCTGTCCCTGACGAGACACTGTTGTCAGTGGGATTCTAACATCTGCCCCAATCTGAGTGTGCCCCCGGGGAACTCAGAAAGTTAAGTAAAAGCTAGCATTGTCTGCACCATAAATACACATTGCACCCAAATGTTCATTTCCAAGGAAAGTCTAAACTGCCAGATGTGTCAACAGAGCTAGCTGGCACTAAGGACAGGCTTTCGCATGCAGGACACGTGGCTGGCTGCCTCACCACGTCCACATGTAGGGTCTGTGCACCCCTCCCAGGGAGACGGTGCCTGTACCACCCATTGCTGCGGCTCCAGGGGATCAGAATTCCCTCTTTCCAGACCAGGCCTGCCCTTCGTGACCCCGGAGGTGACCGAGGGACCTCCCCACGCAAGAGGACACCCTGTCCATATGCTTGCTTGCTTGGGGAAGCTGCTTCAGGTCAGACAAGAAAGGCTGAGGGTAGGCGTTCACACCTAGGCCTCACGTGGATGGACAGCAGGGCACCGGAGCAAGCTGGACCCAGACAGAATTCTTAGGGAGGTGCCTTCATGGCGCCCAGCCCCAGCGGGCTCCCAGTGTCCCCACCCCGACCAGCACAGCCATATTTCTAAGCCCTGAGGAGCGCCCTACAAAGGACAGAGGCCAAGGGGCCTCCCAGCCGGTACCGCCCGGCCCCACGCCCTCCCTTTCCGTAACCCTTCAGTTCGCGCTCGCGCGGGTTCGTGGTCCCTGACCACGCAGGATTCTCCCAGGAACCTCCGCGCCGAGGAGCAGGGCGGAAGCCGGGCGCGCCGCCCCTTAGGGCTGGCGTCAGGGAGCGACGCACGGCGCGCTCGGGGCGCACGGAAGGGGCGGGACGCGCCGCGCCCCGGACTGTTGTGGAAGCGGGGCTGCGCGGGCGCCATGGATCGCTACTCGGGCGCCTTGGAGGAGGCGGCGGACGGGGCTCGGCAGCAGGAGCGGCACTATCAGCTCCTGTCCGCGCTGCAGAGCCTCGTCAAGGAGCTGCCCAGGTGTGTGTGGTTGGGGGGCGAGCGAGGCGGCGGCTAGGACAGCCCCGGGCCCCGCCGCGCTCACCTCCCGTGCCCACCCGATGCCCGCAGCTCCTTCCAGCAGCGCCTGTCCTACACTACGCTGAGCGACCTGGCCCTCGCGCTGCTGGACGGCACCGTGTTCGAGATTGTGCAGGGGCTCCTGGAGATCCAGCACCTCACTGAGAAGAGCCTGTACAACCAGCGCCTGCGGCTTCAGAACGAGCACCGGGGTACGGTGCGGGGGGCGGACGGGGCCCCTGCGCGGGGCGGACCCTTTCCTGGGCGGCGTCCCTAAGTGCGGCCCGCCCCAGAGCGCGGACCTCTGGTGACCAATGCGTCTGGCTAATTGTGTGTGTATTCTCTCTCCCCACCATCAGAAACCCTTTACCCGGGCCCCTCCCGCGCGCCCATCGCCTTCCAGGCGACAAGGCCTGGGGCTTGGTCCCCCCCCCCCCCGGGGCCACGGCCCTTGACAGCTCCTGGGCACGGGGTCCGCCCCTACACTCCGCAGCAGCTGTGCGCGTTAAGAGGTTCCCGCCAGGTGCGAAGGCGCGGGTATCCATGCACCCGCGCTCGCACCACCTGATTCCCGTCATTTCTGCCTCATTTTTCCAGCCCCAGGATAGCGCATCAGGTGTGCTTGCACTCTCCCACCCCAGATCCGCTTAAGTTCCTTATGTTCCTTCAGTGCGCAGGAACCCACAGCACCCCAGCATTCCGGCACTGTTGGCATCTGTGGTGTAGCTGAAGTGGGGGCATGCTCCTCCCCTGGTCATGACCCCCCGGCTCGCAGCCTTTAGCGGAGCCATCTCTCTGGGACAGGGTACTGGCCCCCATGACCCTCCTGGAAACGGAGCAGCCCTCCTGCCCTGACCCCTTGTGACCTGGTCTGTTGTGGCCGCTTGCGGAGCAGCGTGCAGGAGCTTCCGGGGGGGGGGGGGAACATCCCTGCCTCCACATCCATCGTGCGGTCACTTGACCTGTTCCTCCTCTGTGTGTGGCAGCCAAGGTGGAAACCCTGTGCGATGCAGGCCAGGCATTTGTGCAGAGAGGGCTTCCCCCAGGTCCCCCCCAAAGATGTGCAGCCCCGGGTGGTGTCCTTCCGCCCCGATGTTCGGGTGCTTCTCTCAGTTGCGCCAGACAGCTGTCAGATCTTCTCTGCTGAAATGCTGCCACGTGGCTCTGTTACGCTGGGGAGAGCTGGGTTATCCTCTTCATGGGCATTCCATTTTTGATTTGCTCATCTCTTGTTGCAAATGTTTGCCTCTGGGGCCAGCACCGTAGCATAGCAAGTTAAGCCTCTGCCTGTATCTCCGGCATCCCAGCAGGCACCAGTTCAAGTCCCTGGTGCTTGGCTTCTGATCAGTGAGGTGTGTGCAGCAAGCCAAGAAATGGGACAGGGAGAGGTTGAGTGGGACAGGAAAAGGTTGAGTGGAACAGCACCCCGCTTCCTGTCCCCCCACCACCCAGGAGATGAGGGCTCCTCCTGGGAGGTAATGTGATGGGTCTGCGCATGCTTGTGGCTGGTGGTCCCAAGGTCCTCATGCCATGTGTTGTCATCCCTCCCACTCCATGCCCATTGCCTCATTTACAGCCCAGCAGCCATGGAGTTTTGCCCACTGGCCAAAGGGTGAGCCACAGACGGTGGGCTCACGACACCTTGGACTTTGCCACACTTGGGGCTGGAGTTGGGCAGCCGTGGGAGCTCTCCGCTCTCAACCAGTGAGCGGAGAGGCCTGTGTCCTGGCACGGTGGTCCCTCTCCTCTGCCACCTTTTCTAGTCCTTGCGCAGCATGATGTCACCTGAGACTGGCCCGTGTTGGCCATCCGAACCAGAAGCCACCAGGTGGCAGTGTCCACCTGCCTCCAGGGTGTTGGGGGGCAGTCATGAGACAGGGCTGTTGACTCCTTTGGCTTGGCTGCTGTGTAGTGGGCCCCAGGGGCAGGCGCTGAGGGGTGCAGTACAGACTGGGCCCCCTTTCTCCTCGTCTCCCACCAGTGCTCAGACAAGCCCTGCGGCAGAAGCACCAGGAGGCCCAGCAGGCCTGCCGCCCACACAACCTGCCAGTACTGCAGGCAGCCCAGCAGCGTGAGCTGGAGGTAGGTGGGTACAGGGACAGTGCCCAGGCCTGGTGCCTCCTGCAGGTACCACCCAGCTCTGCTGAAGGGCCCTGAGTGAATTGGGAGCTGGTGGCCACAGGCCTCAGCCTGGGGCAAGGGGTACTTATGGAAGCCCGGGGAGTCCCAGCATGTGGCTCTCCCAGGGGGCTGCAGGGTACCCTTCTTCAGGGCTGGGTGAGCAGGTGCTGCTGGGGATGGGTGATGGGACTGGAAGAAGGTGGTGGGAAGGGGCTGGGGAGGCTGAGGGCGAGCTGAGCCCAGAGCTGTCCTGGTGCTCCCTCCCCTGGCAGGCAGTGGAGCATCGGATCCGGGAGGAGCAGCGGGCGATGGACAGGAAGATTGTGCTGGAGCTGGACCGGAAGGTGGCTGACCAGCAGAGCACGCTCGAGAAGGCAGGGGTAGCCGGCTTCTACGTGACCACCAACCCACAGGTCAGCTCCCTGGCCAGACCTGCCCGCAGCCCGGCTGTCCCCAGTCCCTTGATTCCACTTGGGGAGATTCCTGCCCCAGGCCTGGATTAAGGGCTATGGAGAAGGGGGCCTCTTCCTCCTGGCAGGCCCTGGCCAGGCTTCCTGTCTGAAAAAGTGGGCTCCATGGCCTCACTGTCTGGGGCCAGTGTCCAGCCCTAGAAAAGGGTGACAGGAGGCCAGGCCTCACAGGGTGCCCCTAACTCACAGGAGCTGACGCTGCAGATGAACCTCTTGGAGCTCATCCGGAAGCTACAGCAGAGGGGCTGCCACGTGGGGAAGGGGGGCCTGTGACAGGGCACGCCCCCTGCCCAGCACACCTGAGAAGGCAGCCCTGCCCCACCTGCACCAGAGGCAGCGTTCAGTCACAGAGCTCTCCTTCTGAGGCCCAGCCGCCCGTGACAGGCCTGCGCGTGTCCCCCACCTGTGTGTGGAAGTGGTGTCCAAATGCAAAGACGGTGTCATGAAGAGGAGACACAGCCGCCACCTACCCCACGACTCAGTAGAGAGGGGACCCAGAGGCCCTAGCACTTCTCTCTCCACGGGACTATTGCGACCTTCTGCAAGCCCCAGGCTGCATGCTGCTGCTGCTGCTGCTGTCCTCGGCTCCCTCCACCAGCAGCTGCAGTCACTGCCTGGGAAGGGCTCCCGGCCCAGGTTCCATGGGACCCAGAGAAATAAAGGCGCCTGGGCAAGGCGTGTGCGTGGCCGGTGTGACAGCTGTGCAGCTGAGCCGCAGCCAGCAGAGGGCAGCATTCCATCTGCAGCCCGGCACGGGACAGAGACCTGGCCCTGGCTGGCTGAGGACCTCACCCAACTCTGCTCCACAGGGGGCCAGAGAAAGCAGAAACCTACCAGAGCAGGAGGAAACAGGTGGGACTCCGGGGGTCCAAGCAGGGCACCCCAGGAGCCAGGCTTTAGCACTAGGAGCACCTTGATGGTGCGGGTCTGAGTCCACAAGCCCCTCCCTCCACTGCCAGAGCTGACCCCATGTGAGGGCCCCCAAACTGGCCCAGAGACCTTGCAACTGGTGGAAAGTGGTTTATTGAGCAGGTGGGCTCCTCCCACCAAGCTGCCTGTACACTCCCAGGCCTCGTGGGGTACCCCTGCCTTGGGCTTTGTGGCTCAGAGCCTGGCAGGATTATGTGGGGATTGGTGGAGGCACAGCTCTCATCAGCTCAGGCAGGCATCAGACTTGGCCCATATTAACAGAACTGGGGACCTCTGGCGCAGCCAGCCCTGCCTTCAGCAGGTCTGGGAGTCTTGGGTGTAGAATCCTGGAATCCATGTGCAGCACAGTGATGGCCGGAGTGCACCCAGGCTGAAACTCCACAGGCCGAGGGGTCGGAGTGCCTGGGCGTGGGCTCTAGGCCGGGCAGTACAGGAGGCTGCGGGTGCGGAGCCGCCGACAGAGCTCCTGCCAGAGCAGCTGCCGCTCTCGCTGGGCGCCCTTCATGATGCCACTGTTCTCCAGGGCGCGACGGGACAGGTAGGGCAGCACTTCCATCACAGGGCCATAGGGCACGTATTTGTACACGGGGAAGCCCGCCTGGCCTACATATACAGGGCCCACGCAGCCGTGAGTCCCTGACCTAGCCAGGGTGTACCTGCCCACCCTCCCGACCCGGGAGGCCCATCTTACCCAGGGGGAAGCTGATCTGGTCACACATGCCCAGCAGTTGCCCAAAGTACACCTGGCGGTCAGCAGGGTGCAGGCCCAGCTCCTCCATCCTGTGAAACAGTGAGGCCAAACAGGCGAAAGCCAACCTTAGGATGCTATTCCACCCCAATCCAGGGCAGGGCATGGCTCCTGCCTCAGCTCACTACCCCACCGTCCACACACCAGCCCCTGTCCCCTCTCCTATACCCCACAGCCAGGCATCTTCCTGCTGGGCTGCCCTGTTGCTCCCAGGAGGTGGCTCTCCCCCAGGGGAGCATTGGGGGGCTGCAAGGTGGCATCCTTCCCCAGAGCTCCTGTGTGCCAGCTGCAGCAGCTCCAGGCCTCAGCAGGCAGCCACACTCCAACGGAGGCTGTGGCTAAGGTGTTGGGACTTTTATGTGGAATGAGCATGCAAGCCAACACATCGCTTTTCTACGACACTTTATATTCTGTGCACATGGGGTAATTCAAATGCATTATCAAGGGGCAACCATCTGGAATGCTGGGATCCCATATGGGCACCAGATGTTTTGCTTCTGATCTAGCTGCCTGCTAATGTGCCTGGGGAAGCAGCAGAAAATGGCTCCAAGTCCTCAGGGCCTCGCACTTATTCAGGAGACTCAGATGGAGTCCCCAGGTTCCAGCTGTGGCCTGCCCCAGCCCCAGCTGTTACAACTCTGGGGAATGAACTGGCAGCAGAAAGGTTCTCTACCCAACCCCCACCACCCCGTCTCTGTAACTCTTGCCTTTCAAATAAAAATGTAAGAACATTTAAAAACAAACAAACAACGCATTGAAGTTAAAAGCATGTGATCAAGAAAATAATTTGCACACATGGTTCACACTGCGTGTGAGGCACTCTGCTTAGATCTTGGCATGGGCAGGTGCAGTTGTGTCAGGCCAGCTCTCTGGACACTTCCCCCTGGGGGTCTGAGATGCTGAAGGCTCCCACCTTGTCATTCCCAGCCTCCTACCTGCCGCTGAGCCTCAGACCTGAACCCTCTGCCACACCTGCACCCCGCCTCCCCTGGAATCAAGGGGCTGGGGGTGGGGGGGAGGGACCAGGGCCTGAGGTGGGGAAGTATGTGGGGGGGACTCCTGCAACACTGAAGAACCTCCCACTCCCTCTCTCGCATCACACTTGTTAGGATTCTGCCAGAGTCGTGCTCCACGGGACAAACATTTAAGGCAGAAACAGACAATATTAAATTCCAAAATGCTTTTTGAAATGTTCCAGGAAATTGCTTATAAAGCGAGACCGTGCGCTGGAGGCGTCTCGTGTGGGGGTGGGAGTCTGAGACTTGACGCCGTGTCTACCCACATCAATAAGCTGTTGAAATCGCCTAATGAGGTCCCCCCCGCCTTTGAAACGTCAATAAGGATTCATTTTCAGTCCTGCCAACAGCTGCTGTGCTGCTGCATTGCAGCGGGGGCCCGCCGCAGAGGGGCGCTAAAGCCGCAGCAACTGTTCTTCAGCCCGAGCACCTGCGCCCCAAGGCCACAGCTGCTCCAGCTGCGGCTGGGGTGGGGGTCAGCGCCTACCTGCGCAGCGTGAAGCGCACAGTGTCCTCGTTGTGGGAGGCCACCATCACCTCAGCCCTGGGGTTGTGCTTCAGTTCCTCCAGGACGTAATTGAGGCACCTGGGGAGAAAATGCATGAGTCCACTGCTCTCCCCTCCAGCGCATCAGGGGCCGGAAACGCAGCCGTCTCCACACCCACCCCCGTCAGAACCTTGTGCCTAAGAAAGATCAACAGCCGAAAAAACAGCAAGCAGCGGCTGGAACCAGGCAGCTGCCATCCCACAATCAGATCTGCTGTCACTCCACAGGGGGCCCACATCCCTGGTGACAGCTTCGGTTCCCTGGGAAGACAGCCGACAGTGTGTTGTGAGGAAAGCCGAGAAAGCTAGCCAGGCACTTGGGCTGCTGCCTAAGACAGCAGCGGATACAGCCTCCAAGTCCCAGCTGTGGCTCCCAACACCAGCTTTCTGCCAGTGCACACCCTGCCGCCGCCCACGTGGGAGACCTAGTTGGAGGTGCCAGCTCCCAGCTTTGCCCTAGCACAGCCTCAGTCATTGTGTGGGGAGTGAGCTAGTGCATGAAAATGCTCGTGTGTGTGTGTGTGTGTGTGTGTGTGTGTGTGTAGGCTCTCAAAAAAACAAAAACAAAAAAAGTTCCTGAAGGTCTCTGGTGGGGCTTGCCTACTGTGTGCTCCAGGGAACTGGCAGTGCTCCCAGCACTGCCACCAGTTGAGGACACTCGGGCAGGCTCAGCTGGATGTTTAAGAGCTGCACCCTAGATGCCAGAAAACCGTTCAGCACAGGAAGGGTCCCTGTGCAAGTAACCCCGGATGTCCCCCGACACAGGCTGCTGATAGGTGCGGGTGACCTTGCACACACCGCCATGCTGGCTGCTGAGCTAACACCACTGATGACAAGGGAGACGTTCAAGGGCAAAGCGCAGTAAAAGCTGATGGGGCGGTCGACACTCAGGGGCTCTTTAATGCTGCTGCTGCCGCCAGGAGGGGAGCTGGGACCAGTGAGGGAAGAGAAAGGCGCACGGGCACACACACACACACACACACACACACACACACACACACTCCTTTCAGCAGAGTGTGCACAGGCAGTCTACATAAAAATATCATCACGGGGGCGGGCCGGTTCCTATGCCGGGCCACTCCACTTCCCATCCAGCTCCCTGCTTGTGGCCTGGGAAAGCAAATGAGGACAGCCCAAAGCCTTGGGACCCTGTAACCCGTGTGGGAGACCTGAAGAGCTCCTGACTTCTGACTGACACAGCTCCAGCCGTTTCGGTCACTTGGGGAGTGAAATCAACAAATGGAAGATCTTCCTCTCTGTCTCTCCTCCTCTTTATATATATATATATATATGACTTTGCAATAAAAATAAATACATCTTCAAAAAACAAAACATCAATCTTAGGGCCTATGGAACTATATCATAAAATGATAATAAATTTTTTAAAAAAGTAAAATTTTAAAATTAAATTTAAAATAAAGATAATATATTAAAAAAAAAAATCACCAAGACTAGCAGAGCCTAAAAAGCAGGTACATGACCACTAGATTCCATGCTGCGTGACTTAAACAGCTGGAAGGAGTGGTCATTCAGGGCTTGGGCACACCCGTAAGTGTCCACAGGAGTCAAACTTGGCCAATTTTGTTTGTTTTTATTATTGTTCTGTTCTAGGTTTACCAAAACAAAACAAAAACAAAACCGGCAGCTGGCATTGTGGTACAGTACTTAAGCCACTGCCTGAGCACCAACATTCCATATGAGTGCTGGTTCGAGTCCTGCCTGCTCCATTTCCAAGCCAGCTCCCTGTTAATGCTCCTGGGAAAGCAGCAAAGGATGGGCTCAGTACTTGGGTCCCTGCCACCTCTGTGGGAGACCCAGATGGAGTTCTAGGTTTCTGGCTTCAGTGAGCCAACAGATGGAAGAGTTCTCCATCTCCCCTCCCTCTCTGTTTCAAGTATATATAGTTTCAGCCTTGACACACCCACCTCCCACTCCTGCCAGAGTTCTGGACCCCAGAGCAGAGAGGAGGGGAATCTGACTCCAGCACAGTGGGTCCCGAGTCCCTCTCCAGGTCCCTTCCCAGGAAACATGAAGGCACACCTGTGGTACATGGCATTGGTAGCCTCATATGTGGGGTTGATGGGATCCTCGTAGCCGACCTCCGCGGCACGGGCTCGCTCCTGGGCCATGTAAGCACCACGCACCAGCTTGGCCCCAAAACACCAGCCCTCTCGGCGGGCCAGCTCCACGTCCAGGGTCACATTGTCGTAAGCATCCTGCAGGGACAGAGCCCAGCTGAACCAGGACAACCATCAGGATCCCATGATCCTGTGATCCGGCACGGTTGCAGGGGAACACTAAGGCCAGATGGCAGCCGCCAGGTGAGAGGCAGCTTGGGGAGCTTGGGACACAGCGATGGCTGAAGGATGGGGCTCTTGACTTCTGTCCCCATGGAATACTGAAGGCAAGGAAGACAGTAGCTGCCCCCTGTGTGTGCGTAGCCTGGGGACAGTAGTCACTGAGTTCTTGGGGTCACCAGGAAGCAACTGACAGGGAGATGTGCACACTCAGGCACCTGCCTGGACACCCCGCACCCCTCTGGTCCATCTGTGTCCACCCAGCATACAGCTTGGAAGGCACTGAGGGCTGGATGGCCAGAACCCACAGGGGGTACTGGAAGTGGGGCTTCCTGCAGAGTGATGGCCCACTCCCTGCTCTGTTTGTCCCATCAGTCTCCCCCACCTTGGCTCAGGTGGGGGGGGTGTCTCCCCACTCCCAGGGCCTCCAGGTGGGGCCCACAGGAAGCCTTGCAGCAAGCCAGCCCCACCTTGAGGTAGCACTGGTAGGTGTTGAAGATGAGTGGTTTCTCCACGTTGAACTTGCGCTGCATCTCCAGCGTTAGGCGGCTAATGGCCGGCTGGAAGTAGGACTGTTCAGCGTCCACCATCAGCCGCACGCCCAGTTCCACGGCTCTCTGAGAGACACAGACAGAGGCTGCTGACTCATGCCAGGACAGGTACCCATGCTTGGTGCCATCCCCGGGGGGGAATCCCACAAAACTACCCGTCCCCCACCTTGGCCAGCACGTCCATCCTCTGCAGCAGCCGGGTCATCTGCATTTCCTCCGCCTCTGTGAACCGAGACAGCAGGGGCTCCAGCTGGCCTGTCTGTGGTGGGAGATGGGGGAACATGCGGTCAAAGTTGTACTACAGAGCCCTGGGACACCCCAGCTGTCTCATCATCATGGATGCCCCCAGCCCATGAGCACCCACACTCATTCCCCTCCCACAGGGACAGGAGGATCCCCTCCCTGATGCCCTTCACTCACTCCACATACATCACACACACATCACACACACACACACACACACACCCTGCCCCAGGCTGGCTGGACACAGCCCCATGTATTGATGCCCTATCTGGAACCTTGTGGCTAGCCAGCTCCTGCCACCCTGGGAGCTCACTGCCCATGCAAGACAGCCCTGGCTCGGCACCCTCCTGGCTCTCGTCTTGGGGATGGAAGCTTGCCCTGGGAACCCATGGGCATTCAGCAACACCCCTCCAAGCACCCCTCAGACAGCTGTATGACAGGCAGGGTTACCCTGAGTGCAACACACAGGCACCCAGTCAACTCAGAGCCATCCCAGGCCTAGGTTTGGGGGTGATCTGATACACAGCTTGGTTGGGGGACAGCTCTCCCAGTACCCTCTCCTTGGGGTCCTCAAAGCCCCATGCAAGGCTCAGCCTGGACACTCTGTGGATGCTATCCCCTATGGACCACATGGGGTCCCCAAGAGGGACAGCAGGAATCACCCATGTAAACCCAGCTCTCAGAACCAGGACTTGCAGAGGAGGAAATGAGGGGAGCGGAGCATTACCTGCACGTTGGGGACCACCAGGTGCTTGGAGAGCCGAGTCCTGCTGTCGATGAGACTGCTCCAGTTCAGCAGGTCCACAGTGCTGAGGAACACATGCATCAGCAGCGTGGCAGCACTGCCCACACACTGGGAGGCCCTGGCCTACACCAGTCCATTGCCCAAGAGGTAGCCCCAAACCCACATGCCACAGTGGCCACCAAGGTGCTTCACTTCAGTGCATTTACAAATACCAAAATCTGAGGCCAGTGCAGTGGTGTGGCAAGCTAAGCCTCCACCTGGGAGGTTGGCATCCCCTACGGGTGCCAGTGCAAGTCCTGACTGCTCCACATCTGATCCAGCACCCTGCTGATGTGCCTGGCAGAA